CTAGTAGCATTTCTGTATACTGAGTATGCAAATTTACAGTCATCTCTTTTTTTTTTTCCTGGGAGCAAAGTTACACAGTTGTTAATTTCACAGGAGAAGGGTCATAATGTGACTGGTGAAAAGCAATTTAGAAATATATTTGACTCGAACTAAGCCAGAAAAAGGACTCAAGTGCAAGTATGGCTTGTGTTAGAGTTGCCAAATCTGGTAGCCCAATAACTTCAACTTTCATTGTATCCTTCCACACCTGCCCCCACTTCTAGTAGGTCCAAACCTATGTTCCCCCTAACAGTAACTCAGCCCCTCGTGTCTGGCTCGGACCTATGGCCCCTCAGTACTGGTCCCTATCCTATAGTGTCTCTATGGGCTCCCACCCCTTCCTCCCCTACTTGCCAGATAGTCCAGATTGAAGTTTGCTAGTGAGTGAAGCCTACATACACAGATGGCTGGTGGATGCTCATTAGGAAAACACTCCGGTCTCACCAGATGATGGCCCTGCCCCTGTGTGCCCCTGTGCTCTGTGGTCCCTCCTCCCACTGCTGGCACTGGGACGTCTCACACACATCTCTCCAGGTGCTGGCACCTTGAACCTGTGCAGTCCCCATGGCTCCTTCTCTACTTGCTGACACTTAGAACCCCAACACACACACTGGAGAGCACCCTCACCCTGGAAAATAGGTAGAAGTGGAGTTTAGTAAGAAGACAGGACAGACTGTGGTGATGAAGCATGGGATAAGCGTACTGACTATCCTCCTGTTTACATCCAACTGACCCCCTCTGATCCCCTCCCCAAATCCTGAGGCATCACAAAAGTCAACTTGAAAAGCAGAAAGCAGGAGCTGCCCAGATGAATCACTGAACTGGGATGATTTCTGTATACAGATTAATTAGTCAATCAACTTTCAGAATGAGAGTAATTCAGAGAATCTCAGTGTACGCATCCTGTTGTGCTGGAATATTTTTAAAGCCATGACCAGTCAGGTCTTGACTGGCTTAGGCTTATTTTAAAGGTTTTAAATATGCTTTATTTGAACTGTACTCAAGAAGGGTGCAAAAGATCTACATATTCCATTGATAATGAAGGAAATCATTGTCCCCTTCAACTGCAAACTCTTATAATTAGTATAAAGGACAAATACAATAGGAAGATTGGGGGGGCGAGGGGAGAGAATCCACAATCTGTACATCTGAATCATATTTACAAGCAGTGATCACTAAATCCAAATGCTTTTGTAATTATTCTCCTGGCCATGAGTTATGACCAGAAAACCCAGAAACACAGGCTGGACAGGTTATTTTTAACAGAGGGACTCTAAAGAGATGAAAACAGCTGAATGCCAGGGCGGCTCCCATCACAAGACCACACGCTGATTCACTACAGTCTTCTGTTCAGCAAGAGAACGTATTTAATTCTCCTTCCTGGGAGAAAACAGACTTTAACTGAAAACTCTGTGGCCACTGTGATACATTCCTTTCCAGAAGTGATAGATTACAGAAAAGACAGAAAGGTAATTTCTGATCAGACATTACATCTTTCTCCTGCCCTTGCCAAATCCGCCTTGGCAAACATTAACTTGGCACTTTTTAGAAGAGGGAGGGGTGAGTGCTGCCTTGGCTGGTACTCCTTATCCACTAAATTATGTTCCACAATTGATCTCAAAGGATTTTTCATGTTTCTTCTCTCTTTTCATTTTTTTTTTTTAATAAAAGAGCACAGACAATTTTTATATCACAAGCCTTATTACCTATTGTATTACTGCACGTGCCTGTAACTTTGTTGGATTGTTCAGATACCTGTTTTTTTGGAGGTAGAATTGTTTGCAAATACTTTCAGTTATGTGAGAATGAATATGAATCAATACGAAGTCCTTAAAAAAAAAACAACCTGAAGAAGTTCACTCCAAGGGGAGTGAAGGTTACTGGGGCACTCATCAGTAATAATTTTTCTACTTGCAGCAACCTAGATTTCTAGGAGATGGTATAACTCCAAGAAATCCAGAAAATATGGGCTCCCATTTCCCTAGCTGTAAAAATCTGTTCACTTTTGCTGCTGTAACAGGTCTTAATCCAAACTGGTTTTATCTAACAATCAATCTGCTGAGCAGAAATAATGTGACAGAAAGGATGAGCCTTGACTAAGGCACTCTAGTGTCACTAAGCATCTTCTGTCAGATAAAAACTTGACTACAGAAAAAGCTGAGAAGGATAAATTCTGGAACAGATGCATAAATGAGCAATAGCTGAGCCATATGAAATATAATAAAAAACAGACTTGCAGGCATTGGAGATGGAAAAGACCTATTAGGTCATCTAGTCACAGCTTCTGCCAATTCAGAATTGGCCCCTAGAGTGATGTGCTGAACTTTAAGAAAAAAAAAAAGGCTGCCAAAAGCTTTGTCAAGCCTGTTATACTTGCTCTAGAAGAGAGAAGTGAAAAATCCCAAACTTAATGAACAGGCTTCAAGTCATGGAAGACTGACAGTGCCAGGAAAACTTGACTGTATCCCCAACTCCTTACCAAACCCCAGTGAGAAGCAAAGGGGTGGCTTTCCAAAGTCCGGACCGCTTTCATACTGTACAACTGCTGCAGCTAAACACAGGATAATCAGAACTGAAAATCACAGAGGCAGGCTTTGCCCTCAGGCACACTATGGGAATTGGGGCTCCTCTGGCAGCTATATAAGGAATATTTACTGATCCTCAAGCTATTTGGAAGTATCAAGTGAAGGCTTGTTCCTTCTAGATTGATGTCTCCAACTTAGTTAGCCATGAAATAGTCTTTAGAGTCCCTGTGACTGAGTATTTGCTTACTGGCTGGGTGTTTTAGCCCTCAGCCACTCCACTCCTACACAGAGTTGCATTGTAGCTGCTTCCTCTGGTTTGTGCGAGGCTGTCAGAGCATAAAGGGCATGCTGCGTCCCATCACCTTCAGCATGAGCTTGGAAACGAGCTGGAGAGGAGCACCACTGAGTGTCAGGGGAGTGTACACCACCTGGCTAACATCAGGAACAAGAATCCTGTGTATCCTGTGAAAAAGGCACCTACCACCAACCACCACTGAGCACCATACAAATAACTTCACATCTTGGTAAACTGCCTAGAAATAAGTATTGTGTATATGAGTAATGTGTGTTTTTGTCATGAGAAGGGAGTCCTAAAGACCAGGAATGCCTTTGGCTATGGAGACAAAGGAAAAGAGATGGCAGTTGAGAAGGATCCAGAGACAGCTGTCTGAGCATAATGCGGTGAAGCTGATGACCAGGACATAAAAGTGACAGCTAAAAAAAATACATTGGGAGCCAATTCTGTAAGTAAAAGGGACTGTTCACATACTGCGATCTCAGTTCATTTATCTACAAGCACGGGCCTCAGGCCAAAGTATCTGAGATTGCTGGAGAAGTTCTGGAGTGTTCTCATCTCCCACCAATGGCAGCAGGAGCAGATGGTGTTTGAAAATGACACTAAAGGCACGCAAGATCCTGGACACCAGTGGAGCAACCAGGTCAGCTCAATGGAAAAAGAGAAAAGTCATCTGAAAAACAGGAAAATGTTTCTTTTTCTGAAGGGGCCAACTCATAAATGGACTTTCAATTTTATGGGAGCAAGGTTGTTTTTATAATCCTAGCAAGTCAAAAGTTTGGGTTTTTTTAGTTTTGTAGTCAAACATACTCAAAAAGTGAGATTTAAAATTAACCCATTGTAGTGCTAGGGCCTGAATAATAGGCCCTGAAACAAAGTTGACCTCTAGATGAACCTCACAACTGAACGTTATCCATCATTAGTATCTGCTAATTAGTAAAATCTGTATTACCATTAGCGTTTATTAATTAGTATCTGATCATTAACGAAATATGTATGCTCGCTAGTGAAAGATGCAGCTTAGACAATAAAATCAGTAGTGAGGATGAAATGCAGAGAGAATGTATTCAACTTTCCTTGTTTAGCCTTGTTCAAGGCTGAGAACCCAAGTGTTCGGCCTTGTTAGAAACTTCCTTGGTTCTGCCCCCCAAGCCCTGGCCAGGCTCTGGGTGGAATCCAACAGGAGGATGAAAATGGATATTTTCTGCTCAAGACAAAGGTGACAGTTATTGTGGCCTGATGATTTTGGTATATAAATCTGAACCCTCTTGCAGTGACTTTGGAAGCCTCACCTACGGGTGGAGGCACCGCGCAGGACTTCCCACTTGCCAGGACAGGCTCTCCAAATCCTCGCTGTAACCAGGGCTCCCAGCAACTGTGGATCTGGATGATGGTAACGTATGCAAGAGGTGAGGGATCTTTCTTAATCACTATGCTCTCTCATGTAGTAATGATTAGGTGCATTGCCCAGCTTAACTGTATGTAGTTATTAATAAGTAAGTGTACTATTCTGTATTTTTCTTACTGCTTATTTTCTGTAGTACTTAGTTATATCCTTTGATTACTAACAGTAAAATAAGCCTACTCTTTTCACTCTGGTGTCTGAGTTTAACTGGCGTCCTTGATCAGCAGAACACCCTTGTGCAAACAATCAATTCCATGTCTTATATACCCACAGAAAACATCAAATGTTTGACCATTGGTGATACACGTAGAACATTACTGAAATGTACTGAGAGACTACATGCCCTCTATATTGTACAAACGTGTTCTACTACATCTGTGATGCATTGACCAAGCTTGCAGAGGTGGCAGTTTGCCATGACATATTTAGTGAAAATCTCCAATGATTCTGTATCACGATATTGGATTTAGATGAGCTGACAGGGAGGGGAATTTAACTTTCAAAGCAATTCCCACGTTTTCTACCCAAGCTTACTACACTGCCGCTCAAATCCCACCTAACTTCACTCCCAGCAAAGCAAAAAGGGTATGTTAATGCATTCCTCAAGGCACTTAAAGCCAAGTATTTTTCCTAAGTGACTTGCATTTTTCTACTTTTTTTTTTTTACTCTAATATCTATATAAATCTTCACCTAGATGAAAGACACACAGGAAGAGGAGGCCCTTTCTTCACTCACCATGGTTTGAGTGTCTCACACAGTCCCCCAGCACAGCGCTGAACTGCCTCTGAGCTTCTGGCTCTGGGAAGCAATAGCAGCTGTGCCGGGTGAAGGGCTGCCACAGGTAAACTGGGAACTCCCTCGGCAGCTGAACGAAGGCTTGAGCGACATCCTTCTCACTCGACCCTACACAAAAAAAAAACATGTCCAGTTGAAATCTGCAGATTTCTTGGAAGGGTTGGCTCTTTTCCTCTGCTATGACAGAGAACAGACCTTTGCTAGCAGGGAAGCATGAGACATGAAAAAATCAAGCCTTCCTGATCCCAGTGATTGGTCAGGGAGGGCAGGGGGACACAGCTGGGATGGGCAAACACAGCAGGCATCAACCACCTCTGTACATTATATCACAGCAACTTGATATCCCTTTGTTTTGTATTCAAGGTAGCCATAAACTACACATTTTTAGTAAAATTCCAAAGAAACTGTTTCATCGGATTGTAGCTGCTAGGGAAAGGTTTTCATGGCAAATAAGTAAGTTAGTAGGCAGCTCTGGTCTCTTCCCCATAGAGACAATATAGGATCACATGGTCTTTCATATAGAAACAAACTGCATTAAACCATGTAGGAACAGCAGCGGTTTTCCTGTCTCCAGGGTTTCCAAACACAAGTGCAAGGTGGCCTTATGACCTGTTGCTTCAAGCCCCTGAACATGAAGCAAAGAAAGCATTAAGTATCTCCAGTTTCCACTTGCCCTGAGTCACTGTGCACAGGAGGTGCTGTACAACACCGTTTATGGATGACCAAACCCAATCTTTTCGAAGTAGTGTGTGTCGAGAGCCCAAACTTCATCTCAGAGGGTCTTCAGCATTGCACAGAAGGAGAGAAGGGCCCTAAAGGACTAACTGACTCCCTTCGTGGAGAGCCATGGAAAGACCACAAGCGACCTTGGACTGCTCCATGTCACTCAACCCCAACTTTTGCAGAGCTGTGGTGACACACAGAGGACATCTCCAGGCACCGTTGCCCCATGCTACCCTCTGACCAACCTGTGCCTTGGGAAAGGGGTGTAAGGGAGACACCTCTCAGCATTCAGAACTTCAAGTGATATGAGACAGAACTTAAAAAAACCCTGTCTACATGTTTCCCTTATTCCTTTCCTTATGTGGCATCCCATTTTCCAAATCTGACTCTTTAACATGAGATCCACTCACTTAAAGCCCCAAATTTTCTCAGTCTTCATGAAGTGGAGACAGGCAGGACCACAGGGGTTCCTGTCCCAGAAACAACAAGTTCAGCAGCAGCAACCTTCCTGCCCTCTCTGTGGGACTTATTATCAACTGTGAGTCAACACAGGCAGCTGGCATCTAAAAATGGAAACAAATAAACCAGGAATATTAACAAAGCCTGGGAACAATAGTGGTGTGGTTCCTGCCCTGATTCTGCACAGCTTCCAGCAGCTTTGTGCCGGGATGCTGGAAAAAAAAGGTAGCCAGCATATCTCTGAACATTAGCTTATAGCATCTTCTGTGTATGTCCACTCTGGAGCTGTCCTTTGACTTAGAAGAAGGGCTGTGTGCATCTTCTGTTACCCTGTTTTAAAGACTAGCCTGAAAGCCTTCCCAGAAGAGGTCTGTGTATGGAACAGAGCCTGGGATTTGGCAGTTCAGCTTTGAGCAGGGCTTACCAACAGGATCTGGAAAATGTTTATCAGACAGCAAATTGTAATCTTCTTCTGAAGTCAGTACTTTGCCTCCTGCAGGAAGAACATGATATTTAGGGCTGGCTCCTTTCTGGTAGGCCTGGAAAATCAAGAGAGGCAGACTCAAGTAGAGATTTAAGACAAGGGAAACATAAAATACACAACTCATTGACAAAGCTAATGCATGGGGATATTTCCCAAAGGGAAAATTTTTTTGTCACACAGAATTTTGGATATATTCCCTAGACACAGCAAATCTAAACCACAGTTAAACGTAAAATACATATTTTAAAATATTCTCTCAGTGCTTATCAGCTGTGGTGAAGTGTCAGGGACAGAAGGTAGGGGAAAAAGATGGGATTTTCTTCTAAGCCCTATATGTTTCATTTGTCAGCCAGGACTAGATTGACCATGGCAGCTGCCAAACGCAAAGCTTCACTGTGGTCAACTTGAAACCACATAAAACCTGCTACTTAAAATCCAACTGCAGAAGCATAGGGATGTAACATTACAATGACATACACATGAGAAGCTTTTTGTGATAGGCAAAGGAAGCTTCAAAGCACAGTTAAAATGATTTTCAATTCCTTGCAAATGTATATGGCCAATGCAAGGCACTTGGTTGTATCATCAGCCATCACCGTGGGACTTCCAGCCAGCTCTGCAAGGCTGGAGCTGCCTTGCCAAGGACATTTCATATAGCACTGCTAAAAGAAAGGCAGCAATAGTGCCAAATTCACTTGATACCAGTTTATTTGGGAGCACAGAAGAACATAAGAGGAAGAAGCATTTACCTCTTTAGTCTCAAAGCAATCCACGGTGTAGTCATTTTTGATAACGACATATCTGTCCTTCCACTTCTTCAGATCCTCAGCAAAATGAAGCAGCTCTGCTTCATATAAGACCATTCCAGCTTCTGCTGGGGGCTACAAAGACAATTTTTGAGATTTGAAATTACTCTGGATTACTGACCATTTTGAAGCGGTTATTTCTACATTTCCATAAGGCTGCTACGTGGGCTTTTGAGTCTTCAAATGCAATTTGGAGCCATAAACATCTCTCTGATTTGGGTAGTGTGATGGTTTAGGCCCTGCCGGGACCGGAGACCATGTTGCCATTGTCCCACCCCACCCTCAGGCCAGACAGGCTGGGAGCAGGCACAAACCCTGGGGTTGAAATAAGAAGAGATTTAATACAACAATGTGATAAATGACAATCTGAACAACAACAGCAGCAATAACAACAACAACAAACAGTAATAACAGGAAACAAGACAAAAGATACACAGAGAAGTACCACAGTGAACAGCCAGCCCGCTGTGCGTGATTTCTGCAACCAAAGCCACAAAGGAAAGCTTCTCGCACTGCCGCGCTGGACCTGATGTCAGCATGGTATGAATAACCCGGCTGGAGATCCCTTCCCCCTCTCTCTCTGCTGGGGAAACTTGACCCTATCCTAGTTGAACCAGGACATAATCCACCCCTTAATTCTATACCATCTGTGTCATGTCCAGCTGCCATTTAGCAGTTAGCAATAACAAAATAACAATTTACAAAGGCACAGCATAATTCACGGCATGTTCTCACCCAGAATCAAGTCCCCCTGTGGTATGCATCGGACCTCTCCATTGTCCTGCATCACCCAACAGGTACACCCAGGTCTTGAGCAAAAGCAATCCCATGGATGGGTTTGCCTTTACCTTTGCCTGGTGCAGGACTATTTTTCCCAATATATTCCTCATGTACACCACAGGGACTTTATCCCCATCTACAGCACGTGGAGGTCTCGACTGAGCCGGGCCACCTCGACTGGCAGATCCTCTTGTGTTGACTAGCCAGGTGGCCTTTGCTAGATGCATGTCCCAGTCTTTGAAGGTCCCACCTCCTAGTGCTTTCAATGTGGTTTTTAACAGTCCATTGTAGTGCTTGATATTCCCAGAGGCAGGTGCGTGGTAGGGGATATGGTAGACCCACTCGATGCCGTGTTCTTCTGCCCAAGCATTTAGGAGGTTGTTTCGGAAGTGGGTCCCATTGTCTGATTCAATTCTCTCTGGGGTGCCGTGTCGCCACAGGACTTGGGTTTCAAGGCCCAGGATGGTGTTTCGGGCGGTGGCGTGGGGCGCTGGGTAAGTTTCCAGCCATCCAGTGGTTACTTCCACCATTGCGAGCACATGGCGCTTCCTCTGGCAGGTCTGTGGCAGTGTGATGTAATCGATCTGCCAGGCCTCTCCATATCTATATTTTAGCCATCGCTCTCCATTTTGCTGGGGTTTCACCTGCTTGGCATGTTTCATTGTAGCACATGTCCCACATCCGTGGATGATCTCTGCGATGGTGTCAATGGCGAGGTCCGCCCCTCGATCTTGAGCCCACTTATATGTTGCATCTCTATCTTGGTGGCCTGAAATCTCATGGGCCCACCGGGCTATGAACAGTTCACCTTTGCGCTGCCAGTCCAAGTCCACCTGAGCCACTCTAATCTGAGCAGCTTGGTCTGCCTGCTGGTTGTGTCGATGTTCATCAGTGGCCCAACTCTTGGGTACATGGGCATCCACATGGCACACCTTCACAATGAGGTTTTCCACACGGGCTGCAATATCCTGCCATACTTCAGCAGCCCAGATGGTTTTACCCTTACGTTGCCAGTTGTTCTGCTTCCATTGCTGCAACCATTTCCACAGGGTATTCGCCACCACCCATGAATCAGTGTAGAGGTAGAGCCTCGGCCACTTTTCCCGCTCAGCAATATCCAAAGCAAGCTGGATGGCTTTCACCTCTGTGAACTGGCTCGATTCAGCCTGTCCCTCAGCAGCTTCAGTGACCCGTCGTGTGGGACTCCACACAGCAGCCCTCCATTGTCGATGTTTTCCCACAATGCAACAAGACCCATCAGTGAACAGGGCATATCGCTTCTCCTCATCTGGCAGCCCGTTACATGGTGGGGCCTCCTTAGCATGTGTCACCTCCTGCTCTGGTGACATCCCGGAATCTTTGCTCTCCAGCCAGTTCGTGATCACCTCTCATATCCCTGGTCAGCTGGGGTTCCCTATTTGAGCCTGTTGTGTTATCAACACAACCCATTCACTCCATGTGGCATCTGTTGCATGATGTGTGGAGGAAGCCTTCCCTTTGAACATCCACCCCAGCACCGGCAGTCGGGGTGCCAGGAGAAGCTGTGTTTCAGTGCCAACCACTTCTGAGGCAGCCCGAACTCCTTTGTACACTGCCAGTATCTCCTTCTCAGTTGGTGTATAATTAGCTTCAGAGCCTTTGTATCCCCAGCTCCAAAAGCCTAGAGTCGGCCTCGCGTTTCCCCAGGTGCTCTCTGCCAGAGGCTCCAGGTAGGGCCATTCTCCCCGGCTGCGGTGTAGAGCATGTTTTTAACCTCCTGCCCTTCCCGGACTGGCCTGAGGGCTACTGCTTGGGCAATCTCCCGTTTAATCTGTTCAAAGGATTGTTGTTGTTCAGGGCCCCATTCAAAATAGTTCTTCTTAGGGATTATGTGGTAGAGAGGGCTCACAATCAGGCTGTAGTTCGGGATGTGCATCCTCCAGAACCCCACAGCGCCCAGGAAAGACTGAGTCTCCTTTTTAGAGGTTGGTGGGGCCATGGCTGTTATCTTGTTTATTACCTCCATCAGGATGTGGCGACGCCCATCTTGCCATTTTATTCCTAGGAATTGAATTTCCCTTGCAGGCCCCTTAACTTTCTTTTGCTTAATGGCAAAGTCGGCCTTCAGGAGGATTTCAATTATATTCTTTCCTTTTTCAAAGACCTCCTTGGCTGTGTTCCCCCATACAATGATGTCATCAATATACTGCAGGTGTTCTGGAGCCCCACCTTTCTCCAGTGCAGTATGGACCAGTCCATGGCAAATGGTGGAGCTGTGGTTCCACCCCTGGGGCAATCAATTCCAGGTGTACTGGATGCCTCTCCAAGTGAATGCAAACCGTGGTCTGCACTCTGGCGCTATCGGAATGGAGAAGAACGCGTTAGCAATGTCAATCGTGGCGTACCACTTGGTTGCCTTTGACTCCAGTTCATACTGGAGCTCTAGCATGTCTGGCACTGCGGCACTCATTGCTGGTGTAACTTCATTCAGGCCACAGTAGTTCACAGTTAGCCTCCATTGGCCATTAGGCTTTCTCACTGGCCATACAGGGCTGTTGAAGGGTGAGTGAGTTTTGCTGATCACCTTCTGGCTTTCTAGTTGACGGATCAGCTGATGGATGGGGACCAGGGAATCTCAGTTGGTGAGGTACTGCCGCCAATGCACCGTCCTGGTAGCAATCGGCACTCGCTGCTCCTCAACCTTAAGCTGCCCCACCACTGAGGGATCCTCTGAGAGGCCGGGTAAGGTGGACAACTGTTCAACCTCCTCCAGGGCAGCTACACCAAAAGCCCACCGGTACCCTTTTGGGTCTTTGAAGTACCCTCTCCTGAGATAGTCTATGCCCAGGATGCACGGAGCATCTGGGCCAGTCACAATGGGGTGCTTATGCCAGTCCTTCCCAGTCAGGCTCACTTCAGCTTCCAATAGGGTCAGCTGTTGGGATCCCCCTGTCACTCCAGAGATGCAAATGGATTCAACCCCACTGTAGCTCGATGGCATCAGGGTGCACTGTGCACCAGTGTCCACCAAAGCTTTATATTCCTGTGGGTCTGATGTGCCAGGCCATCGGATCCACACTGTCCAATAAATCCGATTATCCCTTTCCTCCACCTGGCTGGAGGCAGAGCCCCTCTAATCCTGCTCAGCATCACTCACTTCTTGCAAGAAGGATTTATTGGTCCCCTCAAGAGGGTCAGACATAACGTTCACCATTCTATTCTGTCTGAGGGATTTCTGACTGGACACTTGAGCTGCACTTTTCTTGGAGGACTCCCCTTTTGTGATGGTCTTCCCTTTCAGCTGCTCTACTCATGCAGCTAGGGCAGCAGTGGGCTGTCCATCCCACCTCCTAATGTTTTCTCCATGGTCGCGGAGGAAAAACCACAGGGTGCCTCATGGTGTGTGCCTTCTGCTGCCTTTCTCTTGGGTGGGGAAACGTTTACTTCTAATGGCTGAGACATCAGCCCCTGCAGGTGGAACATAGGACATGTCCTCTTCCACTCTCTGGACCCTCTGAGACAGTTCCTTTATAGCTGAGACCCAGGAATGTTGAGATGAAGAGAGATTTCCCTCATATTGCTGGAGCTTGCCAACCACTCCATCCACTGTTAAGAGTGTGGGTGTCTGTCCACCAGGACACTATTGCCAATGCACACATCAAGTGTGTGCAAGGGGCCTGATCTGCATCCATGGGTGACTGCTCATCATTCAGATCACCGTGTATCATATCAAACACAGCCAGTTCCCTGAGATTCTGAATGCCTATCTCAATGGTGGTCCATTTGCTTAGCTGACATAGGATATCATCCTTGTAGGGGTGCCTCTCCCTTACATTGAGCAGGAGTCACCTCCAAAGGCTGAGGGTTTGAGACTGTTTCCCTATTTCCCTATCAATGCCAGCATCCTTGGCCAAAGATCCCAGCTGCTTGGCCTCTCTCCCCTCCATTTCAAAAGCACTGGCTCCATTGTCCCAGCATTGGAGCAGCCAGGTGCAAATCTGCTCGCCTCCCAGGCAGCTGAAACCTCTCCGCATATCTCACAACTCAGGGATAAAGATCAGACAATCACCTCTGACCCTTCCTCCTGTTCCCGTGATGGGCCTGGCTCATCCCCATCCCCCACTTTGCGAACTGACTTTCTGGTATATTTTCTTTTCTGTATCGGGGCAACTGATACCAGCACTGGCTGTCTCTCTGGCTCAGCTGCTGTGCTGGTGGAGGCGACTGATACTGACTCTGCCTGTCCCCTCGGCCCAGATGCTGTACCAGTAACCTCACTCTCAGATCCTGCAGCCCTTTCTCCCCCTTGAGGGCAGTGAGTGGTATTAAAGAGGACACAGTAGGCATGGGCAAGTCCCCAACACACTGCAGTGAGTTATGTCTCCTGGGTTTTGCCAGATTGGTAACACAACCTTTCTAAGCACTCCATCAGCTTATCAGGGCTCTGCATTTGTTCGGGAGTGAAATTCCAAAGCATTGGAGGTGCCCACCGACTCAGGCCTTTGCCCATCTTTTCCCACACCCCTTGCCACTCACTGACCTCGGGGCAGGTTTCTGGGCACTGCTGTTGTTAGAGAAGTGCCACCTGGCCAAAACCAAAATCAGGCAAGCATTCAGAAAGCATTGTGCCACAATCACAATGGTCTGCAGGCTCCAAGGATAATTGAAACTCTCAAAAACCGAGAGGATCTCTTCCCCTGGCTCACCCACAGAGGGGGTGAGACCCCTAACAAAAGCCCAGGCAGCAAACAGGTACCCGCCCGCCCCCACAAACAGCGATACAAGTACATTATAAGCAGTCAGTAGTCAGTATAACAAAACAAGCCCCTTTATACATTTTCCAACAACAACAAACATCAGCAATGGGAACACACAGTGGATATAAGGAATAATCCAGCCCCACCAAGCAAGCAAGTGGGCCAGCATTGCACACATTTTCTTATCAAACAGTACAAATACAAAAAAAAAAAAAAATTGCACCCAACAGATTGCTCCAACACACTCTGGTCAGGGTCTGTCCCTTTTTGAACTTTATTTCAACCCTCTTGTGCCCCACGTTGGGCTCCAAAAAAGGCCTGCCGGGACCAGAGACCATGTTGCCATTGTCCCTCCCCCACCCTCAGGCCAGACAGGCTGGGAGCAGGCACAAACCCTGGGGTTGAAATAATAAGAGATTTAATACAACAATGTGATAAATGACAATCTGAACAACAAGAGTAGCAATAATAACAACAACAACAAACAGCAAACAAGACAAAAGATATACAGAGAAATACCGCAGTGAACACCTGCCACGCCTGCTTCCTGCAACCAAAGCCACAAAGAAAAGCTTCCCACCATGCCTGTCCTGACATCAGCATGGTATGAATAACCCAGCTGGATATCCCTTCCCTCTCCCTGCTGGGGAAACTTAACCCTATCCTAGCTGAACCAGGACAGGTAGATACTACATCACAATCAAATTCTTATAGCCTAAGGTGAAGAGGCAGCAGAAGAGCTCTGCCTTCCAAAAATACTTCCAGATTTCTGAGACAGAGATGTTCTTATTTACCTTTCAGTTGGCATGCTGAACTCAAAATATGCTCTTGTAACTGATATGTATCCTTTTGAAAGACACAGATTCTCTATTATCCCACCTTTTACATTCCACCTCATTACTTTACCCTACTCATTTCAAGAGCATTGGAAACCTGTAATTTCCAACACAGCTGAAAAATTTAGATTTGTATCTTCTGAATATTGAAGGCTGGTTTTCTGCATTTCCCTCTAATAAAGAGACTTGGTCCCTCATAACAAAGAGCTCTCCATAGCTCACTTCACAGAGGGGATTATTGCCATTTTATTTATGGAATTTTACTTGAGGGCATTCAACACTCGGAAAAACAAGAAAACCGAGCCCAGTCAGTGGCGGATACACTTCCAGCTCATGCTTTTCATACATTACGACTACTAAATGTGTGATTTAAATAGTCAATGTGTTAATTACTTCATGCAGGAGAGCAGAGCTATATGACAGCTTGAGGATGGAGAAGGCCTTATGTGCCCTCCTACCTTGGTTTTCAGGAAACGGGATTGGTAATCCCGGTGCTGCTCCAGCTCATCCTGCACGTGTTTGCAGAAAGCCACGGCATACTGGCGTCTGTAATGCGGGCTGAAGTTTTTGATGACAGCTTCTGTTTTTCCTAAAGCAGAAACAGAGATTTAATTGCATTTAATGTATGTGATTTCAGGAACTGCAACGCAAAATCAAGGCAGTTATCACCAGTGACCCAAAATATTGCCTAAGTGTATCAACAGCCACTTGCTGTACAGCAAATCAGAAAACCCTTGGAGATGCATTCAGTTGCTGTGAAACCAAGCACATAGGGAATTTGTGCAGGAAAACACTGGGTGGGGTTTGAACGTTGTTTTTCCTTCTAAGAGTAGGCAAAAAGTACCCCAAATCCATTTCTCTAAGAAAAGATGCTACTGGCCTCTCCCTGGGACATACAGCCATGGAGTCATGGGTGTTTAAGAGCTGATAAGGTTTTCAAAGAAACCTGTTTCAAAGAAACAAGTGATACTGGCTACTGTTTAGCCATATTAGCCAGTTTTACCACACAGTGAGATTTTAAAGCTGATTTAAAGCTCCTACAGAGGATATTTTCTAGGCTTGGGCACTGCAGTCTCTTCTTTTGTTTTAATGTAAACAGATACTCAGTCATGCTGCAATAAACACTAAACTTGTATTGTCTTGCTACAATCAAGATCTCATCAGTAGCAATAACAGCAATAAAACCACAGACAAGTCTCATTTCTGAGAAAGAGCAATTTACAAGTAATTAACTCATTAACACTATCAAAGAAATAAAAAAGTTTTACAGGCAGGGGAGTGAAGCTAAAAGTTAAAGCCATAAACATATATGTGACTCAAAGAGTCTGCAGCAATGTGAAAACCAAAACCTGGACTATGCTCTAGATAGCATCTGGAGTGATCCCTTTTTATCTTGTATTAAGAAACTCCATAACCAAGGATTTTTTTCTGAGCATACAAGAGAGAAATGCAATTTCACACCTGAAGCAATTTTGATGCTTTCAAAATTTTAGTTTGTCCTGCTTGGGGAGAAATATATTTTTCTGTGTAAGAGATTTCTTGAAGCCTTTATACACATGGACTTCTAAACCAGGACTGGCATTCAGCACTCCTGAAGGCCCGAAGAGAGGAACCAGCAAGAAGCACCATGACCTCCAGAGTCCTGGAAAAGCTGAACCACCTGGACCCTATAATGATGTTCCCAGACTGATGAACTCCTCCCAGCCACCCACCAACACGACCACCAAAAGGGACTCACTGGGAGTTTTCATGATGTTTCTTTATTTTATACAACAGGCTGTGAGTCTGCAGCAGTTATGATGAAATCAGAGAGATCCAGACTGATTTGCTGTTTCAAGGATATAAGCATAGTCCTTTTAAAGTAACCATTAAAAACTTTCGGATTACTACTGATTTTATTGCCATTTCTCACCAAAAAAGGGGTTTAGATGTCAGCACAGTTCTCAGAATGTTCATGCCTTTTTACATCTCAAATATTCTTAAATACGGTTAAACAAAGAGAAAAGCCATGGATCATTATGAGAGTAAGTGCATGGGATTTTACAGGACAAAGTGCATGGGATGCTCTTGTGTAGAAGATGCTACGGTTCAAGATCTACCACATCTGGTCACTTTATTTCCATTAAAAAAAAACCAAATATGTGTGGCTGAGACTGCCATGGAAAAATAGCTAGTTTGGCAAAGAGTCCACAGAGATAGGTGATGGCAAAAGATTTTGTAAGGTTTGTAAGGTGCTTATTTCAGGTCCAGCTCCAATTTGCTCCTAATGTGGGACATTACCAGGCTGTCAGATAATTTCATCAATTCAGATAGCACAGTATTTAAGTACTCCATAACTTTCAGATCATTACATTTACCTCACTGTACTTATGTGGACTTGTACACAAAAGAAAAATCTATACGTCAGCTCCTCTGCTTCTGCAGTTTTATTTTCAGTTTGATGCACAGAATTTGTGCATCTCTCAAGTTTAGGGACAATATTGACATGACCTCTCATTCCAGCTATTCCCGTGTAACCAGCTCAGAGAGGTGAGCTAGAGCCTTTTCCTTCTTAAGCATCAAAGGGATCGCTGCCTTCAACTAAACTGAAAGCCCCTTTTGCCCCACTCCTGCCCCTTTCCAATCACACACTGCTGCTGGGTTACAAACCTGCTGCCTGTTCAAGCCCTGCAAGGAGACGGCTCAGCTAACTGCCACATTGGCAGTCATTACCCAAAGCTGGAGGGATGTCAGGAGGCCAGGTTAAGTTTTCAGGTGTGTAAATTGTTCACAGATTTACTCGTGGGACAGCACCAGGTGACAATCTGGACTCCAACCCTCTAGTTTTGAGACCAGATTTTTTGAGATCTACTGATTACAGGATGTGCTTGTGTATAATAGCAGGACGCTGGTGCTGCTGAAGCAGAAAATCCCTGCCCTTCTGCCAGCCTTTATAAAACCAGCCTGCTTTGGGCAGAGGCATAAACTTATTCTCCAAATAAGGGCAAAGCTTCCCAAACCCTTCTTTATAGCATGTTTTTTAAATTCTGGTTCCAGCCAGCAGTAGGATGTTGTTGGCCCCAGCCCCAGTAGAATTTCCTGCTCAGGGTTTGCCCCTATTTTCCACCATGGCTTTTTATTTTCCAGTTTGCAGTGGCCTCTTAATCTGTGACAGAGGGCTCCTGGACCTCACTTGACTACTGCCTGCATCATGCAGTAAAAATTTAGAGAGGAAGTGGGACTAAGAACAAAATTCTGGTGTTGGGGAAAAAAAATCCCAACAATCACAGGAAATACCTGTAATTTTGGCAAAGTCTTTCAATCATGGCTAAATCGTCTCAGAAGTGTGATTCTTCACTGTCAACATTTCTTAGATCAGCTTAAAGTATATGATCACCAAAGAGAACTATGCAATTCATAATATATATTAAGTGCAAAACGTGACATCAGTGTAAATTTTATGTGCAGACTGTATTTACAATCAACCAAAACATGAACCAAGGAGCAAATGTTTCAGGCTATTTACTCCAATCTTTGCATTACTTATTGCAAAGAATCTCTGCGTTAAAAATACTACCCCCTCTTAAAATTAGAATTAAAGGTTTTTTGAAGAGATTGTTAAGTGGCACCACACAAGGACCTGGACTTGTACTGCTCAGCTCAACAGGAATTGCAGTGCTACCTGTGGGTGGGAAAAGAAGTGGACAGACCCTTGATCCATTGTTCATCAATGGATCTTTAAACTCTTTTGGTTTACAGAAGATAAAAATACACTATCTGAAAATAAACATGATGGAAACAGTCATGAGTAATAGAAACTATTCCCATGAAATGATAACATGGAGCAACTGAAGATAAAATACTCCAGGGTAGTTGAAAAATGAGTTCCCCTAACTCTTACAAATTTAGTGTGGCTTGCTTAATCAGAGCTGTTTATATGGAGCAAAGCTAACTTTCCCACTTGGTTGATCTGGCAGCAGTGCAGCTCCAACCCATACATACGTGATCTGAAAAGCAGCAGCTAAGATGTTTATCCTAGGAGTATACGTACTATGATCATCTCCAGTAGAAGCCTGCATGCAACTGAAATTACCACATGAAAAGATGACTGATGGAGGTGGAAGAATTTCTGTCAAGTTAACATGGCAAGGGTCTGCCACCCCTTTGCTGGGGGTTTAGATCCTGCTCCAGAATAAACTTTTCTAATGCTTCATGATGCACCTCGTGTTCTACAGAACCACCCTTGCACTTGATCACAAAAATTTAGCACAAGCTATGCTATGTCTTTTAAGAGTAAAAACAAATGTCATTACACTGAGAAACAAGAAACATCTGTCAGTTGTCCCAATGGAAATAGGGAATCTTCCCCCAAACTTGCTTCTTCTCCCTTTTCCACTGCCTTTGACCTTCTTAGCTGTATCACCATGCTGAATATTTGTATGTAACTCCAAGTCATCAGACCTCACAGCATGTCCTCAAATACCCAACTTTTCATTTTGGGTTTCACTGCTTTTATTAAAATAAACTGACATACAACTTTAAAAAATAATGTCACTCCTTGGCAAGTTCTCCGATGAATTTATGCTGATCTAGCCACGGGCTTTCAGCCTGGTGGCATGGCCACACGCAGCCTGGCTAGCTCACCCTGCCAAGCTTCTCCGCTCTCAACAATGTGTTGCCAAGTGGCTGGTACAGAGGCAGGTCAGGAAAATTCATTAAAAAAAGGTCAGAAAAGAATTGGCTGGCATACAAGAGAGGGGTTGCCAACACTCACCTGACTTTGGCCATTTGGAAGTTAGGAGGAGAAAGAGGTAAGGACTTGCCATAAAAGCTGTTATTCCACTTAAATATTGGTGTTTGGTAATAACGTGACCCTTCCAAGGGTAGCAAGATGACCATGACCCTTTCTCTTCATAGCACAATTGCCTGCACTCAGCACCTTTTGAATGGGGTTTTCAAATAATACCATGATCTGTGATACAAATCTCTTCAGAGATCTGGGGGATTTATCTTCTTAAACCATTTAAACCAGTTGGAAAATACACTTTGCACCCCAAGGGACATGAACTGCTGTATCAAAGCAAACCCCAGACAAAATAAAATCTAAAAGAGACAATAAGCATTGTGTAGTCTGAATGCCAGTACACCCAGCACTTTAAACAAGTGCGAAGTATTGAGACAGAACAGGAACGAATGACTTTGTCCTTGTATTTCTTCCACAAGCCCACAAGCAAAGCCATCAGAAGTAAATATAAAAAGATCAGCTGATCATACCCACATGGTGCTTCACCTGAAACTGGGGACATGCTTTTAAACGATAAGCTGTCAACTATACTACATGCCTTAATGCTATTCAGCAAATTCAGTACTAAGCTTTAAAATTACTGCTATCTATCTATCTATCCACCCATATATATAATCTTATTCTCATAGCCCATCAGGGTAGTAGTAAAATGAGCTAACATAATAATTTCAGTGTTCAGCTCATGGGTCAACTTCATCCCGTTCAGTCCAAGACAAGCAAAACCTTCTGGGCCCTGCGAATCGGCAAAGCTGGATGTCAGTACTGGCAGCTCTGAAACAGGGTGGATGCTCACCATGAAGACAACG